TGGGACTACAGGTACACACACGACACCCAACTAATTTTTCTATTTTTAGTAGAGATGGAGTCTCACTCTTGCTCAGGCTGGTGTCAAACTCCTGGGCTCAATCCTCCAGCCTGGGCCACCCAGAGTGCTAGAATTACAGGATTGAGCCACTGCCCCCGGCCAGAAATATACTTGTATCAACTCAAAATATAAGTAGTACCCTCCCATCTACTTACAATAGGGAGTTCGACAACATCTTAGGCTTGGCTATATAAATCCCTGCTTTGCTACCTAATGAGTAGGTTTCTGAATATGCATGAATTACAGTTCTCAATCTCTAAAAAGCAGTATATATAGACTTTCAAGATTTAATACAGCTTAAAATGATTAGACACGTACACATCAAGAAATAATAATCCACTTAAAAGGCAATGCATACATTTTACATTTTTTAAAAGTCACAATATGTTTTATTCATAAAACAATTCATAAACTACACAACAGCAAAAGTGAAGTTTCAAAACAAACATGTTTTATGACTGTCACCTCTTGGTTTCACTGTATGTGTAGAAGGCTTGGCCACCACATAATTAGATTTTTTTTCCTGATTCAAATAAGCTGAGAAAGAACACAGTAATGTGAAAATAAGCACTGTGAAAATAAAAACAACCCAAATGTCCATCAGTTGGTGAATGTGTACATAAATTACAGCATAGCCACACAAGGGATACTAACTCAGCACTTAAAAAGGAATGAACTATTGATACTCTCAAAAATAAAGATGAAAACTCTTAAAATAATTATAATGAGTGAAAGAAGCCAGATCCCCCCAAAAAACCTTGCAGTACAAGATTCCAGTTAGATAAAAACATAGGAAATGCAAACTTATCTACAGCGATATATCAGTGGTTGTCTGGAAGAGAACAGCTGGAGGGATTACAAAGAAGCAGGAGGAAACTTTTGGGGGTCATGGATATATTCCTTATCTTGACTGTGGTGATGGTTTCACTGGTGTATACATGTAAAACATAACAAGTTGTACACGTTAAATATGTGTCGTTTACTGTATGACAATTATACCTCCATAAAGCTGTTCAAAAATAAAAAGACTTAAAAAAAAAAAAAAAGCATCTTCATGGCCTGGTATATTGTGTTTAGACTACCTTCTTTTCCAAACAGGTGCACATCCTGAAAAGTCATAGAACTGAAACACCTTTCCTTGGTGATGTGCATACATGAACAAAACCTTAAAACCCAAAGATTTAGTTATAATAGAAATAACAACCACGTGGATGAGTTGTTGGGGATTCACCGGAGGAGGGCAGAACGTGGAGATGTGACCACAGACGACATTTCAAGGCGTTTTGCTGCCCAGGGAAGCAACAGAACGGGGCTGTGCTGAAGGCGGTGGGGGTAAACACACAGGCTCACATTCCAGGGCGGATCTGTAAACTGGTGGACCTTCCCCCTCCATGAGGATGAAGTCACACCGTCATTTCTGAAGCAGCCTGGGAGTCCGGATCCTGGTCCCTGCTGTGGTATCCCGTGCGTGGGCTTTCAGCAGCTGGGACCTCAAGGGAAGTGCAAGGGACAGGTGTGAGTCATCGTGTGGGAGAAGAGGTGTGCTTCTGGGACCAGGACCAGCAGCCTCTGCACAGGATGCAAGTGACATAGGATGCACATGAGATGTGGGCCACCTTGTGGAGGAACCCGTCTGGCAGGCCCAGATGGCGGGGAAGGGCCCATGACAGAAAGGCCACGTGCCCCATGAGGTTTCTATTTTCACCCAGACCTTGTGCTGGCCAGCCCTAACCTGGGGAGGCGGTATGGGCAGACAGGCTCCTGCCCTCACACCACTGATGCTCTCCGGGAGGAGCAGATAAAACCAAGTAAATGAAAAAACAGGATGGGCCCTGACCTCTCATTGTAGAAGGTGAGATTTCCTCCCCGGTATCCTCAGAAAAAGTGCCCTGGCCTCATGCTCTGGTCTTGGCAAAGCGACTTCTCTCAGTGGCTTGATTTGAACAAGATACTGTTTAGGGAAGACACATTAGCTGAAAATGCTTCAGTTAATGTTAGTTTGGGGTGCTGATAGAAGCCTACATTTGATTAAAAAAAGAGAGATAAAGACACTGAAACATAGATTTAGCCATAACGGTGTGTGTTGAATGTTATTTTACACGTCTTTGAAGATCATTTTCAAAAGCAAGATGCTAGGTGCCTTTATGTGGAGATCACCAAAGGACATCTTCAAGAGGTGACTGTCTCAAAGGTGGGCAGATGGATTCTGGGCTCAGGATGGCTCTCCTGTGGACAGTACATACTTGGATTCAAAACTCAAGCAGCTTAGACGCTTACGTGGAAGATACTCGTGGAGAGTTAAAACTTTTTTTAATGTGAGAAGGGAAAAGGTCGTTGTTTCCAAATGAATGGACTTTCCATATTATATGATTTTTTAAAAATTAAACTTCTTATTTTGAGTTAATTGTAAAAAAAAAAAAAAGAAATAACAATAGTTAATATTTAGATAGCTGTGACTATGTGCCAGGCACTATTGTAAGCACTTTTCTTGTATTAATTTGTCTAATTCTCACATCAACCGTTTTACAGATGAGAAAACTGAGGCACAAAAGGGTTAAGTAATCTGTTCAAGGTCACACAGCTTGTAAGTAGAGATAGGATTTGAACCCAGGGAGCCTAGCTCTAGACTTAATTTCCTTACCCATCATGCTCTACTGCCACACACAATACAAGACACAGTATATGAAAACCAGAAGCAATGACTACTGCACTTGTAAAATATTAATATTCTTTCTCACACTCACAGAATATAAGTATTCACTACAATTCACAACATTTACATGAGACTAAATAAAAAACAAATGACCTTCATTCTGCTTTTCCCACTTAATAGATGGAGGAAAGAGAGGCGGAAAGGCTGGACAACTTGCTAAGGACACATAAAAAATAAATCACAAGTTAATCAGTTACTAAGAAGCTGGTTCACTATATTCCCAATCCAATTCTCTTCATTACCTCAAAATCCTAATTATCTTAAGTAATACCACAAGGGAGAGAAAATCTAACATAAAGCAACATGAAAAATGTAAAGTCATTTCTGTTCTCTCATATTCCTTACAGGTTCTTTAATTCCATCCAGAAGGTCTCAATCTCTGCAGATACAGGTCTGGAGTCTGTTTTAAAACCTCCCCAGGTGATTATCATGTGAGCCAAGGCTGAGAACCCTGATTTAGTTTTCTCATTAAAGGAAGACACAGATGATGCCATAAAAAGCTTTGGTAAACCATGGCCCAAGGTTTTCCAAGTCAATATTGAACTTCTGTCCAGATATAAACTATTGTTTTTCCCAAGAGACAGTCTCACTGTGTTGCCCAGGTTGCAGGGACAGTGGCACAATCATAGCTCACTGCAGCCCGAAACTCCTGAGTTCAAGTGATCATCCTGCCTCAATCTCCAAAGTAGCTGGGACTACAGGCATGCACTACCACACCCGCCTAATTTTTTCGTTTTTTGAGATGGAGTCTCACTATGTTGCCCAAGTTGGTCTTGAACTCCTGGTCTCAAGCAATCCTCCCATCTTAGCTTTTGGAGTAACTGGGATTACAGGAATGAGCCACTGTGCCCAGCTCATATGTAAACTTTTGAGTTTAACTTTTAATAAAAGTAGGCCGGGTGCGGTGGTTCACGGCTGTAATCCTAGCACTTTGGGAGGCCGAGGCAGGAGGATCACTGGAGGCCAGGAGTTTGAGACCAACCAGAGCAAAAGCAAGACCCCATCTCAACAAAAAATAGAAAGGTTGCAGTGAGCTATGATGACCCCACTGCATGCTAGCCTGGGCAACAGAGCAAGACCTTGTCTCAAAAAAAAAAAAAAAATGCATACAGGGTATGAAAAAGAATAGTAACTTTTTTGAAAATGCAAACTGGTGGTAAATCAGATGTCAGAACTTAAAAAAACTCTGTATTTTGGATATTGTTATAACAGAAGTTACATACAAGCATACTGAAATGAAAAAAATCTTTCAACTTTTTGGAATACTAAATTGGCACAATGACGTCAAGTCAGTGGACTGAAAGCACAGAAACACATGCCAAATACTGCATTTAAAACGTAATAAACTCATAATACATTGTGAAACTGGTTAAGAAGCACAGGTTGAAAAAAGGTAAGCTGTATCTTTAGCCCATGCCCTGAATCAGTGTTCCTTGAACTTTAAGGTGCACTTCTTGAGGAAGAGTCTGATTCAGTACCTCTGGGATGAGGCCTGAGATTGCATTTCTAACAAGCTCCCAGTGGACCATACTCTGAGCAGCTTGGCCCTAAGTCATTGGAATACTGGTTGTAACATTAGCCAATTGGCTTACAAATATCATCATGTCTAAGATTCAAGAAGTGTCAATATACTTCATACCTAGTTCAGGCAAAAAGGGGTTAAGGAAAGGAAAAAAGCATATATTTGTTTGGACAATCTAGCAGTGCTAAGAACCACAGACTACTGTGTTACTTGTCCCAACCTAGTAGATGTCACGGCGAATAAGGTCCATGAGACTTTAGTTAACTGCTGAATCTTTATGACCTAGCACAAGTTAGGTACTCAATAAATGCACTTGAATATATGAATGAATGGGAAGTTTATACAAACAAAATCTGTATCTTTGTGACATCCCAAAAATGTCTGGAAGCGGGACTGTATTTACACATATGGATGCAAGCAGCCATAATTTAATAGAAATACTTGGCCCATTCATTGAACTCCATTTTGTCCTAAAAAAGAATTCTCCTGAAAAATATTTCCACTTTAAAACCCAGGTTTCCACACCCTGATGTTTAACAACTTTTTAGCTTTTCAAAAACAATGAAGAGAGATAGAAGTACAGGAAGAAGAATTCGGAAAATTCTCAAAAATCAAAGCAAAAAAAAAAAGGGAGGGAAGAGATGGGCGAACAGTTCAGTTCAAGTGAAGGAACATCTTAGGCTGCTACAAGGTCCACATTCTTACCTATGATGGTGGCGGGGTTTGGGTTCGTGCTTTTATATGTTTTGTTACTGTCCAGGGTCACTTGTGGAGAAGCACCTAGCTGTGGAAACTCAACTAAAGACGCAGCAGGTTCTTCCACCAACCTTCAGTAGCTTTGGGGAGTCACATTTCATGTTCATTTCCCCCTTCCCAGCGTCTCCCGCGCGTTTGAAAACACAGCTACCGCCCAAACACAAGATGATCTGGGCGGCTTCGCTGTGGGCTTGAAGCCAGAGCCAGGATTTAAGATGGCGGTAATATACTAAGTAAGGGCCAGCCGTAGCGCAAGTAATCTACCCAAAAGAAAAATGGCCTCCGTTCCTAATGTTACGGCTTTCAAGAAGGGCCCAAAACAAAAATGGCGACAGAGGCAGGTTATTTAAAAGCAAAGAATGTGATTGGCAGGTAACGAATCATGGTTCCCCACTGTGCGAGATAGCTGAAGCGACAGAAAGAAAAAACGCATTTCTGTGGCGTTTTCTTGACACTGGAAAATTACTAGCACAAGGACGGCAAGTATTTTCGATGGAGAAGATTATAGAAAAGACCGATTGGAAAGCAAAAGTGGCTTTCACAATGCCGGATAAATTTTAATTATAATAGCCACATTTAAACATAACTTCCTCCACAATTCTTTTGAATGTTACAGGAGAATAACAGTTTTGTCCTAACACGAAAAATCAGGGTGGGGAGATAACGCAGAAATTATCTAATCTCTGAAAAGCATCTAGTTAAAGACCTTCCCACCTCCCTGTTGGCCCTAACTGGAAAGACTGAGGGACGAGGATCAGGTGAGGGCGACCAGCTCTCACTGCGCATTTCCCCTCCTCAACCCGATCCAAGGAAATTGCGACAGCAAATGTCTATTCTCCTGGTTTTTGAAGCAGCCTCAGAGAGAGGCGGGTGTTTGCGCTGAGTGATAGAATCAAGCGCTTTGTGATTGGCCAGGTTGAGGCCGGCGAACCTAGAACAGTTAACTTCGTTTTCATTCATTCAGTAAATACCTGCTAAGCGCGCCCCAAAAAGCAGATACTATGTCCTTTTGATATGCTGCTGAAATTGTATGTTATTTAAAATTTACAGTTGCAACAATTTGCTGAGATAGACGCTTAATCAATTCCGCCCTCTGGCTTTTCCAGTGACTGCCGCCGCTGTCGTCAGCTAGAATTTCACCTAAAACCCGGACAGGCATAGGAGCGGGCTCGGCGCCGGCTGCAGAGCTGCGCATGCCCCGTCCCCCGACGCGGGGCGAAGGTCACCGGCATCGGAGGTGGCGGCGTGAGGTTCGGCCTGTGGGGCCCGCTGGCGGTGGCGGCGGCCTGGGGTGGTGCAGCAGCTGTTGGGCAGGTGAGACGCTGGAGCCGCAGGTGGAAAAGCCAGCTTTCTATCCGGCTGAAGGGAAGGGGCTTGCAAGCGCCTCCCTCTCCGCTCCCAAAGGTCGCAGGTGTCCCCACTGAAGGATATTTGGGCGGGGCGGGGGTACAAGGAGCAGGCTGGCTCCGGAGACAGAAAAAGACCTGCCTTTAAAATAGCGCTAGTCAGTAAATTCTCGCTGCTGGAACAGATATGGATAGCGAGGAGGTCTTCCGGTATGGGGTGGTAAAGTTGGAAGAGTAGGGCTCCTCACGCTCCCACCTGCACGGCCACGCCGTGAAGTAGATGGAAAGGTGTCCAGTGCAAGCACCCATGGCGTCTGCGCTGCCACCTTCTGACTTAAATCCGTGACTCTCGGTCACTCCTTCCCTGGGAGGGGCCGCCGTGTGTCTGGGGGGATACACCGTATACCTGAGGCTGTTGGGAGGTGGGGGCCATGCTTTGGCGTGGAGCTGGACGTCAGAACCGTCTTACAGCGTGGTCACACCTAGCGCGTGAGAGCAGAAACAGGGCTCACCGAGCTTTTGACTTTGTAGGGATGACCTGCGGTCATGTGCATTCTCCTCCCCCATGAGACCATGCCCAGATCCTGTTGCTGTTTCAGAGACGCTCAGTATGGCAGTTTCATTCACTAACATCGTCAGTTTATCCATTAACAAGTATACAAGTGTGTTTTCAACACTGTGCCGAGTTAGTAGATAACAGCAATGACCAAGACAGGCATGGCCCCTGACTACATGGAGCTTATGTTCTAGTGATGAGGCAGAAGCACTAAACAAGTACAATCAGCCCTTGCTATCCATGGGTTCCAAATCCGTGGATTCAACTGACCGCGGTTCCAAAATGTTCTGAAAAAAAAAAAAAATGGATGGTTGCATCTATACTGAACATGTACAGACTTGTTCTTGCCAGTATTCCCTAAACAATACAGTATAACAACTATTTACGTAGCATTTACATTGTATTAGGTTATTATAAGTAATCTACAGACGATTTAAGGTATACGGAAGGATGTGGTAGGTTCTATGCAAGTACTACACCATTTTATTAATATGTAAGAGACTTGAGCATCCATGGATTTTGGTGTCAAGGCGGGTCCTGTTCCACTCCCCCATGGATACCAGGAGGCAGCTATACACTGATAATTAACAAGATGTTTCCAGATTGTCCTAGGTTGAGTTTCATGGGAAGCAGATTCTGAGGAGAGTTGGAGGCAGGATATTTATTAGAACTTTTTGGATCATTACCAAAAAAGAAAGGAAGTGGGATTGGACAGATAGAAAAAGTTGAGCTACAGTGTAGTCACAGGGAAGGCTTTTACCAGCCCCACAGGAACTCTGGTGCTGGGTCGGCCTTTCAGAGTTGTCCCAAGTTGAAGGGAAGGGCCAGGCCTTTATACTCCTGCATTGATCCATCACTGGGTGCCCATTGCCCTGGAAAGGGCCTAACTTCAGCTCCCTCCAACCAAGGCAATCATGAAAGGGGACTAACAGCTGAGGGCTGTTTCAGCTCTAACAGGAGCTGGGGAAATAAGTCTTTCATTCCTAAGGGGGATCAGGGTGGCGCATCACAGCATTCAGCACAAAGGTAGAACTTTGAAGGAAGCAAGAAAAATATGCTAGAGAATAATGGAGGAGGCAGAGGGAAGAAACTTTAGACCGAGTGTGCAGAGAAAGGCTCTCTGGGTGGGTGACATTTGAACTAAGCTGATGGACAAGAATAAGCCACCCTGTGTGGGACAAAGGGAGCAAGATTCTCTGCTTTCTACTGTGCACTGGAAATACAGCAGAGAAACAAAACAAGTGGCTGCTACCTCCTATTAGTGGCTGGTAATTACTAGTTTTTACAGATCTTGACTCCTTGCTGTAACTAAAGATGGAGTAAGTAAAAATGGATTGAGACCAATTCAGATAGTAGGTCAGGGAGAAAATGATTTTGAAAAATGAGTCAACTTGGTAAAGACTTTTAATCTATACAGCTTGGTTTTATTTTTTGATTTTTGCACAGCATTGAATCATGTTTATTAAGATTGTCCTTTTCTATTTTCAAACCTGTATTCTCCTTGAGGACAAGAATCATGCCTTCTTCATCTTGGTAGTTCTCCTGAGCCTAGTGGTCTTAGGAGCATCTAATAGACACTAAATGGGCATTTGAATAAAATTAATCTCATTTGAAGTGAAAATTGATAAGCCGTAAATGATGTGAAACTGGAGACATGACTGTATTTGCATTTGCCTTTACAATATTTCCTAGTTTTATATAACCAAATGTTAGTCAAAATAGTAAATGATAATATTTTAACATAATTGCTTTGATCAAGTAGGAATCTTCAGAGGTTCCTGTTTTTACATAAGATTTGTATTAAAGTTGATATACTTCTAATAATATAATAATAGCTGCCATGTATTGAGCACTTCTCACGTACTAGGCACTAAACTGTGAATATATATATAGTAATCTTCATAATGTGGTCCCATATTACAGATCATGAAATTGAGGCAGGAGAGAAGTAATTTGCCCAGGGCCATAAGTAATTTGTGATGGAGGTTAGAATTTGATTCTCATTGTTACTCAAAGCCTTTGCTCTTAACTAACAACATTCTGAAAATGCAGACCAAGTTTCAATCATACTGGCACTCTCCTGTTTAATCAGTTGGCAACTCTGACTTTATTAACTGTTATCAGAGAAACAAACATGAGATTATTTACCTTGTCTTTGCTGTTTTACTCTGTGTCTTTTAGTTTTCTGATTTCCTTCATAGTTAGCTTTCCTGGCTCTCACTCTGGGACCTTCACTGTTATCTGTCCTATAACATCCTAGAATCTGATTAGCAGATTCACCCTACCCTGATCAAAATAGCCCCAAAGACCTCAGGACCTCTTTCTTGAGAATTTGCACTTTTATTCATATTTAACTAACTGAGACTGCTCAGAGAAACAGGGTCTCCTTTATGGAGACCATTTCCCTTAGTCTAGGCATTCATTCCAATCCTCTTCTGTTCCTGCTACATTCCAGGTTAACTCCAATAATGATTTTTCCTTTTGAAATAATCAAAATAATAGTTAAAAATCACTGAGACCAGACTTAGTTCTAAGTATTGTGTTGACTGCACAACAAGCTTATGATGTGGAAGTCATTATTGTTCTCATTTTACAGATGATGGAACTGAGGCATAGCAAGATTAAGTGACTCAGCCAAGGCCACGCAGCCATTTGTGAAGTGGGGAGGTGGAAATTCAAAGCCCAGGCTGCATGATTCCACAGCGTATCCTCTTAATCACTCCCTGACGATGCATCCTTACTAAAATGATTTCCTGTGCTTGAATTTTTAAAAGCTGATAGACAGGAACTAGATCCTAGTGGGTTTTTCCTGCCGTACTAAGAAATTTAGATTTTACCCTTTAGTCAAAAATGCCACGGAAGGCTTCTAAGCAAAGCAGAAACATGACCAGATCTGGTTGTTTTGCAAGTTGGCTGTGTTAAGAGTTTAGAGAATGGATTAATGGGGAAGAGACTGGAACGGTGGTTCTCAAACTTAAGCTTCAGAATTACCTAGAGAATTTATTAAAACATCGATTACTGGACCCCACCCTAGAGTTTCTGATTATCAGGGGCAGCCTGAGAATTTCTGTTTTTAAGTTCCCAGGTGACGCTAATGGCACTCTTGAGACTATACTTTGCGACTAGACTGGAAGCAAAGGGGTCATGTGAGAGGGCACCGGGGTCTGGACGGTGGCCTTAGGGAACAGTTATA